ATGAAACCGTACGGTGTGTGCGGTTGCTTAGTGTACAAATTCTTCAAATCTTGAAACGTTTTCTTTCAATTACTAAAACCATTAGCATTCCCTTAGGACCTGCAACAAAGCCCAAGCATTTTTTGGAGCATCAGAGTGGTTTTGGAGGTCGAATTGAAAACACCCATTTCTAGGGTTCTTCACGGGTTTGATGAAATTGGAGCCTTTCCAGGACAAATTGGCCTTGGCCACAGGTATAAAGTTTACTCTACTCATTGAGATCTTCATTTCTGTAAATTTTGGTAATTTTTGGAAATAGTTGGATTTTCCGGCGAGCCGGGGCGCCTGACCGCCACCCACGGCGGCTCGTGCGGCGGCGCGTGGCCAGTGAGCCGTCAAAGATATTTTTAGGCCATAATTCATGCTCTAATTTCAGTTTTGGTGAATGAATGACGTATGATGATCATTCGAACCTCAATTCGTTACGATACGTGGTTAGGCCAAAATATGAATTGACGATCCAGCCAAAATATGAATTGATCCGACCATTGGATCGTCACCAAACTTGGATACATTGTAATACTTAATATTTGAGGATTATAAGAACTTACGGATCAGGAATCCAATTTACAGATCTTTCGGAATTGGAGTTGTAAGTTCATAAGATTGAATGTTAACCGTCACTTGGTTTTGCCAATTGACGGAGATCCGACCATTGGATGGTAATGAAATTTTAGGATGTTGTCCTAGAGGTATATTGTAGATCTCTGGAAGTTTCAGATCAAAAATCTGAGTTGCAGATCTTCCGGATCAAACTACGTAGTGATGTGTTTTATATAAGTTATATTCTATCGATATGATTTCTGAGGCATGTCTTGATGATTATTCTAGGCGCCGATTGTCATGACGCCTTGATGTGTTGTGCTAAGGAGTTGTAGGGCGAACTTCAGGTGAGTGGGCAATTTTGTTTTCCGTATATACCTATATAAATGAGATTTTTCCCAGAAAATCAATTTAAGTGAAATGTGATATGAAATGCATTATGAAATGCCATGCAAAATATATATTTTTATTTATGCATTAGTAATTGCATACATGCATGATTGGTGATGCGGATGCACAGGTAAGTGCCATGTAAGTTCATAAATTAAAATTATGAGACTGTTGAGTTGATGTGATTGAAATTTCATAAACCTGCACTAGGGTGATTATGATTTAGCAGAGATGTAATTCAGGCCTGTAAATATATTTAGTCACCCCCGCACTATATGCTCACATTGGATCCAATTTAGATGCCCAATCTTGTCGTACAGACCACTCATAGGTGGTTCCGACACGTAGGTGACTAGCGATTTATCGCATAGCTATCAGGAGAGGATAGCATGAGCATAACTATATTACACCCAGTTCTGTCGTACAGACCATTTCAGTGGTACCGACTCGTGTACAGTGTAGTGCCGTACAGGTTACTTATGATGACTCCGGCTAGATTGATGATTAATTATAAGCTATAGTTTCAGCCAGGCTGATCACTCGATTGACATGTTATTATTTATGATGAACTTACTTCACTGATATATTTATATGATATGATGAAATATAGTTTGACATGGCATATACTTTACATATCACTATTTCTGAGCTGGTTTTGAGATAAGTAATTATATTTTTATATTCCTGGGAAAATTACAGGTTTTACGGAGAGGGGTTACCACGTTTTGAGAAATGTTTTGTCTTTGAAAAGATTTGTTTTACTGACCCACTCAACTTTGTTTTTCACCCCTCCAGGTTCTAATTAGCTGAGTTTGGTGGCCATGAGGAATCCAACGGTGTCCTGACAGAATTCACCAAAATAGGATTTACCTGCGGGTGTTATATCTTAGTAATTGTCCTACTCGATTGCAACTAGACGTTCTTTTTACTCTGAATGTGTATTTATACACTAAGTTTCGCACTAGCATCATTTCTTAGCTAGTATTGCTAGTGTTTCGGCTTTTATTTATTCGTAATTCTATTTATCTTTTTAGCTTCCGCACTGTGCAAATGGTTACGTCACTCGCACGTGACGGCCAGCACGCCCTCTTTCAGGGCGGGGTGTGTCACTTATGTTTATTTATTGTCTAATAAAGATGAAGCTTTTAAGTGTTTTAAGCGATATAAAGTTGAAGTTGAAAACCAAAAAGGAAGGAAAATTAAATGCCTTCGTAGTGATAGAGGTGGTAAATATTTTTCACTTGAATTTGATATTTTTTGTGAAGAGCATGGTGTTATACATGAAAGAACTGCACTCTATACACCACAATAAAATGGTTTGGTAAAAAGAAAAAATAGGTCACTCACTGAAATGATTAATTCTATGATGATTAATGCTAATACTCCAATATTTATAGGGTGAAGCATTGTTTTCTGCATGCCATATACACAATAGAATTACATCTACAAAGACACATGTGTCACCATATAAAATTTGGAAAGAAAGAAAACCAAATTTGTCATATTTGAGAGTATTGAATTGTGTAGCTTTTTATAAGGCACTCGATCCTAAGAGATCCAAGTTGGGTCCAAGAGGAATTAAAAGCATATTTGTAGGATATGCAGAAAATTCAAATGCATATAGGTTGCTTAATTTAGACTCAAATACAATAGTTGGGTTTAGAGATGTTGAATTTATAGAAAATAAATTTTATAACAACTACTCAGTGTCTGGAAAAGAGAATGATCAAACACATTTCTCTAATCCGTCTACTAGTCATTCTCAAGGTGAGAAAAGAAAACAGTCTGAAACTGTTAATGAACCAAGGAAAAGCCAAAGGGTAAGAAAAAAAAAGACTCTAGGCTCTAATTTTATTTCGTCTCAATCTATTGTATTTTTAGTCAAAGGAAATAGAACAAAGGTTCTTAAGAAAATACCCATATTGTTGAATGTTGAGGATTATCCTAAAAGTCTAAGCGAAGCATTGACTTCAAGAGATGCAGCATTTTGGAAAGAAGCTATAGATGATGAATTTGAATCATTAATATCTAATCAAACATGGGTTTTAGTAGACTGGCCCCAAGGATCAAAAGCAATACATTGTAAGTGGATATTTAGAAGAAAATACAATACAGATGGGTCTATTCAAACATTTAAAGTCAGGCTAGTAGCCAAGGGTTTTAAGCAGAAAAAGGGAATAGACTATTTCGATACATATGCACCAGTAGCTAGGCTCACATCAATTAGAATATTGTTTGCATTGGCATTTTTATATAATTTTCATGTGCATCAAATGGATGTGAAAACAGCATTTTTAAATGGTGATTTAGATGAAGAAGTCTACATGGAACAACCAGAAGGGTTTATTCTCACTAGGAATGAAAAGAAGGTTTGTAAATTAGTAAAGTCGTTATATGGATTGAAGCAAGCACCAAAACAATGGCATGATAAGTTTGATTTTGTCATTTTAGCGTATGGATTTAGACATAATAGTGCTGATAAATGCATATACTCTAAATTCACAAATGATTATGGTGTTGTTATATGTTTATATGTCGACGACTTGCTAATTTTTGGTACAAACATGACAGGTGTATCTGAAACTAAAGAGTATCTAAATTCAAAATTTAAGATGAAGGACTTGAATGAAGTAGATACTATCTTGGGAATTAAAGTAAAGAAACATAGTAGGGTTACGCTTTGTGTCAGTCACATTATATAGAAAAATTGCTTCTTAAGTTAAAACATCTACAAATAAAAGAAGCAAATACCCCTTATGACCCTAGTGAAACTTTGCTTAATAATTCTAGTAGGTCTATTGCACAGCTTGAGTATGCTAGTATAATCAGAAGTTTAATATATGTCATGCATTGTACCAGGATAGATATCGCATTTGCAATAAGCAAACTTTCTAGATACACTAGTTATCTAGGTACTGTTCATTGGAAAGCAATAAATATAATTTTTGGTTATCTTAAAAGAACTATTAACCTGAGTTTAACTTACTATGAGTTTCCAGCAGTACTTGAAGGATATTCAGATGTAAGTTGGATTAATGATAATAAGTCTACATCAGGGTGGATTTTTACAATTGTCGGAGGAGCAATTTCTTAGGCTTCGAAGAAGCAAACATGTATAGCACATTTAACTATGGAATCTGAATTTATAGCATTAGCGGTAGAAGGTAAAGAGCAAGAAATGTAGAAATAAATTTCTGAAATTGTGTGTGAAACATTATGCCACAATAGGTATTTATAGGCATTAAGGCACCCGTTCATCAAGTCCTTTCATTTTAGTTGAAGATATACAACTCTTCTTAAAAGTATTGATCCAAAAGACATGTCTTCTATTTAGAATTTTCAGAAAATAAATATTGACTAATTATATCTTTTAATTCTACTCATATAATTTGAGTAAACATCATGTCTTTTAATTAAAAGTTACAACCATTCAACAAAATATACAAAGGTTGAACGAAACCCAACATTTTTATAAAGGGTTGTAGACTGTACATATGCTACGCACTGCAGCACCACAAACATGCTGCACAATGCAGCACCAAATCATTATATATATATTCTTGAAATATTCAACAGGATGACATGGTAAATGCCTTGCTGCAATACTAATCATCTGTAAGCCATTGGACGTGAAGAATTCTTAAAGTAATAGGCAAACTTCGAGCCTGTTCATGGCTTGCAGTCCCTGTTTTTCTAGTGCTAGAATTTCAACAATTTGATGGGGATCGAGCAAACTTCAGCAGGTCCAAGTATTCCTCGAGGGACTCATGAAGGCTCAAGTGACTGTATTTCTAAATCTTAAAAAAAAAAGGTTAAAAGGATTTCATATGTCAGAAAGGAGGTTAGTTTGGTTGTGGAAGGAAGCTTCTTTCCAGTTTCCACAACAGGCGAGGATGGAGAAAGCCATTGACTAACATGTGCTTGCCTTTATGTGGATAATTACCAAGAAAAAAGCATGAACCAACATTTCTGTTGTAGAACATTTGAACCATTATGTCTGGATCATAAGCAGTAAAATAACCATAACGTACGGAAACATCCTCGTTCTATAACCATGTGTCACATCCACTACAAGTAATTAAAAACATAGCATTTTCTCAAAGAAAAAGAAAAAAAAAATTGAGCCAACAGAACAGATCAGCCCCGCTTAAATAAACAGTAAGTTGCCATCAAATTATTTTAAGCAAAACAAGAGTGGAATCCAATTAATATAAAATAAGAAGAAAAGAATGTTTGAAATCCAAACCAGATACTTTTCTTTTCTGTTCCTTCCTCGGCAGATCATTCAGTTGGACTCAATCTTTCTTAACTAGGTAGAATCTGCACAAAAAAGAAAGAAAAATGTTATGTTATTAGTTTTCTGCCAACAAGCTTAGTAACTAATTAAAGTAGCAAACAGGAACTGTATGAATAAGCCAGCCAAGAGTTTGAATTTGGTATGGGCCGTTTGATAACCAATTACTGAAAATTGAAAACTCGTTTGGTAACTCAAAGGAATGGCGTACCTAGTGGGAAGTGAAGATGGATCATGTCAAAGCTGGCGGGTGGAATTGGGAGAGGAAGTGGAAGCCGTTCGATCTGAAACAACACCGTTCTCAGCCTCCTCTCCTTGAATGCAGAAGACAGGCGAGCTACCATTAGAGGCACCGAAGCGGGTGCCAAAGATTGAAGAGTGCTGCTGCTGCTGCTGCCAAGCACGGGCGGAAACTGATGGCGTAAAACTGGACTGAAGGGTACCCCCATGGTGGTGAGGCTGAGGCTGAGCATATGAGTGTGAGTGTGAGTTGAATACAAAGCCACCATCAAGTCCTCTGTTTTCATTGCTCCATGCCACCATTCTCTGATAACTGGAGGAGTCAAGTCCAATTCCCATTGCGGCAGCGAAAAGGGTTTGAGAGGACTGCTGGGTATGAGTGTGATTGTGATGAATATTTAGGCTTTGGTCTTGGAAAGAGTGGAGAGAGAGGCCGAGGTCTTGGGTGGTTGTTGAAATAAGATGGGGATCGGGTGCATAGCTTTGGAAATCGACGACGGAGGAAGCAGCAGCAGCGTTGCTACTAGTGTTTGTGGGGAAGAAGGATTTCATAGTGTCAGCTATGTTGTCTGAGTCCAGAGATGGCGGAATGTTGAAGTTCGATTCGTTGTCTGATTGCCTTTGCCTATGGAGCTCAAAGTCAAAGTTGTAGCCGGCGGAGGACTCTGACTGCTGCTCAGCTGCTGCAATTACCATTTCATTTGGATTTTGATTTGGATTTGGATTCGATGATCGAAACGGATCATCAGCCTTGGCAGCATGGTTACTAGTAGTGATAGGATGCCAAGGTGGAAGCTCAGCAAGCTTGTCAATGGAAGATTTGGCTTTCTTGATGAGCCAGTCGACGGCTTTACTGGGTCTATCATATCCAAGACGGTCTTGAACATCGTAGAATTGGATGGCAGTGTGGGCGGACAACCGGACACGGCGGTCTCTGGGGCCTTTGGCGGTGTAAACCTTGCTGTGACGATCTTTGCGTCCGGTGGATCGAACAATGTGGCCGCCCTGGACTTGCACAATCTCTCCACCACAGCCCTTCATTCCCATTGTAATTATTCTATCTTTTTGTGTTGCATTATTTTCTGCAAATTATATTGGTTGCGTTGCTTTTACTCTAGCTGTGGCCGTTGCTGTCACAGTTCTGATACTTGTGCTGCTGCCGCCGATCCCCAAAACTCTGCATTGCAATCTCCATCAAGATTCCAAACCCCAATAAACGCTACAAAAAGCCACACTTCACAGGCACAGAAATTTGACTCCACTTGTATTCCTACAAGTTTATAGATAAGGTAACTACTTATTGGTCCATAAAAAAGTACAGTGCGTGTGCAGACAGAGACTACTGATAATTGATGGGTGAGTTTTTCTATGTGGACACGAAACTACGAATTTAAAGAGAGAAAAAAAAAAGGAATTAAAATGGAAAATTTAAGCTACAACCCAAGTTGCAGGCTATTGCTATATAGTAAATTGTAGCAAATCAGACATACCATACGTAATATTTTTATCGATTTGAGACATGTGTTTATATCCATGATCACGTCGAATCCTTATGAAAATGAATCCAGAACAAAATCGCGCTAAAGCTAGGGCGTCACCCGTAAGTGGCGCGCTGTGTGGCCTGAGCACAGTGATAAGTGAGCAAGGGTCGCTGTATCTCCATCGGCACCCGGATGCAGTGTTAAATGAGCAAGGGGGCCATAGAAACTTCTTTTCGAACGACTCCACTCAAAGTTGTTTGGGAGCATATGCTCCTATCAACTTTACCCGGGACACACAAAAGAAGTACTTTGATCCTATTAGACGGGGGAGGGTGAAGAAGCTAGGACAGAAGGGTAGAGTTCAAGAGAGCAAAATGCGTTTAGGAACGTGGAATATAGGAACCTTAACGGGAAAATCTATGGAAGTAGTGGAAGTTATGGTGAGGAGAAGGATAAATATTATGTGCCTACAAGAAACTAAGTGGGTTGGTAGTAAGGCAAAGGATCTAGAAAACTCAGGGTTTAAACTTTGGTATTCGGGCACAAATAGAACGAGAAACGGTGTTGGCATCATCGTGGACAAGACCTTGGTACAAGATGTTGTAGATGTCAAAGGGTAGGAGATAGAATCATGGCAATCAAGATTGTAATAGGACAAGAACTTATCAATGTGATTAGTGCGTACGCACCTCAAGTAGGGTTGGATACGAGTTCGAAGGAGAAATTTTGGGAAGATCTTGGAGACTTGGTGCAAGGAATTGCTCAAACGGAGAAGTTATTTATAGGAGGAGATTTAAATGGACACGTGGGCAGGGAGACAGGCAACTATGGAGGTTTTCATGGTGGCCATGGTTTTGGGGAGAGAAACGAGGATGGGGAAGCTATCTTGGATTTTGCAATGGCATATGATCTCTTCTTAGCCAACACCTTCTTTAAGAAGAGAGAAGAACATGTGATCACCTACAAGAGTGGGTCGTCAAAAACACAAATAGATTTTCTTCTAATGAGGAAAGGGGATCGTATAACTTGTAAGGATTGCAAAGTTATACCAGGAGAGAGCGTGGCTAATCAACATCGCTTGTTGGTGATGGATGTACATATCAAAAGAGTAAGACAAAAGAACAAGACTTGGAAGTGCCCAAGGACTAGATGGTGGAATCTAAAAGAAGAAAAACAAGCCATTTTCAAAGAGAAGGTAATCACCCAATGTGTGTGGGATAGAGAGGGGGGAAGCTAGCCAAATGTGGGATTCCATGGCTAGTTGTATCCGAAAAGTAGCAAAAGAGGTATTAGGAGAGTCCAAGGGCTTTGCCCCACACCAAAAGGAATCTTGGTGGTGGAATGAGGAGGTACAAACGAAGGTGAAGGCTAAGAAGGAATGTTGTAAAGCCTTATACAAGGAGAGGACCGATGAAAATGGTGAAAGGTATAGAAAAAGCGAAGCAAGAGGCGAAGAAAGCTGTCAGAGAAGCTAAGTTAGCGGCTTACGACGATATGTATAAACGACTAGATACCAAAGAAGGAGAGTTGGATATCTATAAACTATCTAGAGCAAGGGAAAAGAAGACAAGGGACCTAAACCAAGTGAGGTGCATCAAGGATAAGGATGGAAAGGTTCTTGCTACAGAGAACGCGGTTAAAGACAGATGGAGAGGTTATTTTCATAATCTTTTCAATGAAGGACATGAAATGAGTGCTTCTTTAGGGGAGTTGAGTAACTCAGAAGAGTGTAGAAACTACTCTTTTTATCGTCGAATTCGGAAGGAAGAAGTGATTGTAGCTTTGAAGAAGATGAAGCATAAAAAAGCAATAGGCCCAGACGATATACCAATCGAAGTGTGGAAACTTTTGGGAGAGACAGGTATAACATGGCTCACTGACCTTTTCAATAGGATTTTGAAAACGAAGAAGATGCCAAATGAGTGGCGAACGAGCACTTTGGTGCCTATTTACAAGAATAAGGGCGACGTACAAAATTGCATGAACTATAGGGGTATTAAGCTAATGAGTCATACAATGAAGCTCTGGGAGAGAGTCATTGAGCATAGATTGAGGCAAGAGACACGGGTTTCGGACAACCAATTCGGGTTCATGCCAGGGCGCTCAACCATGGAGGCAATCTATCTCTTACGAAGATTGATGGAAAGATATAGAGATGGGAAAAAGGATTTACACATGGTCTTTATAGATTTGGAAAAAGCGTATGATAGGGTCCCAAGAGACATTCTTTGGAGGATTTTAGAGAAGAAAGGAGTACGAGTAGCATATATCCAAGCTATAAAGGATATGTATGAAGGAGCAAAGACTGCCGTAAGAACTCATGAAGGACAGACCGAAAGCTTTCCCATAACTGTAGGATTACATCAAGGCTCATCCTTAAGTCCTTACCTTTTTGCGTTGGTAATGGATGAGTTAACAGGACATATTCAAGATGATATTCCTTGGTGTATGCTTTTCGCAGACGATATAGTGTTGATAGATGAAACTCAGGAAGGGGTAAATGCAAAGCTTAACCTTTGGAGAGAAGTGTTGGAATCTAAAGGTCTTCGCCTAAGCCGATCAAAAGACAGAATATATGGAGTGCAAGTTCAGTGCAAATGGAGGCCAAAACGAGTTAGGGGTGAGGATCGGAGATCAAGAAATGCCAAAGAGCGACCGTTTTCGTTACCTAGGATCTATCTTGCAAAGAACGGAGAATTAGATGGAGATCTCATAGAAGAATAGATGGAGATTGGAAGAGATGATGCGCATGTTGTGTGACCGCCGTATGCCACTGAAGCTCAAGGGAAAATTTTATAGGACGGCAATAAGCCGGCGATGCGTATGGCACAGAATGTTGGCGGTTGAAACATCAACACGTTACACAAAATGGGTGTAGCGGAGATGAGGATGCTTCGTTGGATGTGTGGGCACACGAGAAAGGATAAGATTAGGAATGAGATATCCGGGTAAAGTAGGAGCGAAAATTGAAGAAAGATGAGAAAAATCGGTTACGGTGGTTTGGACATGTGCAAAGAAGGGCCTACTGACGCTCCAATTAGAGATTGCGACTACTGGGACAAAGGGTTCAGGGCCGAAGGTAGAGGAGACTAGGAAAACTTGGAAAGACTCAAAAAAAGACTTAGAGTACTTGGATCTAACGAAGGACATGACACAGGATCGAGCACAATGGCGTTCTAAGATTCATATAGCCGATCCCACTCAGTGACTTGGATTTTCCAAGTCTCCAACCGAGAAGTTTTCCTCACTCGGGAAATTAAGGAACACTACCCAACCTACATGCTCCACTCAGAAAGCTTCAAACATACAAGCTTCAACAAAAAAAATTCAAAGAACTTAGCGAAGAAGGCTTTGGTGTATTTAACACAATACGTTGAAATGAAGGAAAGCTTATTTTATGATATCCCGATAAGCTACAAATATGTACATATATACAGAGTCAAATAAACACACAAGAGGAGCCTTCACAAAGGTTGCTTAGGAAGAATCTCAGCAGTCGTAGAGCCCCAGAAAAGAAGGCACCGAGGGGGATCATTTTGGCCTCAGTACTGGACAGAACCTAGAAGGAGGAGCATCAGAGGTTGATCATTTGGAGCTTCATTACGCGGTACAGCCCCAGAAGACGAAGGCAATAAATGTCTTGGAACAAACCCACAAATCTCTGATGATCAAGTAAACCTGACCATCAGTTTCCTTCATCTGGTCAAGCTTCCTCTTCATGTTTGTAGCATAGTCATGTGCGAGCCGGGTGCAACTGTTTATTCTCATGCTTGAGCCCTCTAATCCTCTGTTTGAGACTCATCACTTCAGCCGCCAATGATTAACTTGGCGGTTCGAGCAAATAGGCGTTGGGCCATATTAGACACAGAACTGCACACTGAACACTAAAGAGCCAGCGAATCCTTAACAGCTAACTCATCAGGACCGTTGGAAAGTAGTCTGTTATCTTTGGGAGTGAGAAGGTTCCTGGCCACCACCGCAGCGGTCTATTCATCTTCATCACGGAATCCCCAACGGTAAGGGACCAGTAGGGGAGACGAAGGAGGGCGCCATATGTTGTCCTGGAGAAGGCGGGGCTGCCTCTTCAACAAAGGTTCAAGTCAAAACTATCGTCGGAGGCCAGACATTTTTCAAAGGTGTTGAAGAGAGAAGAGGTCGACAAATCAAGATCTTAGAAGTGCAAGAATGAAGCTTCTACTGGTGGATTCAAGTGTGCTTTAAACTTAATGCCAGCCCCTATAAAAATCTGCACTCGACGGAGCTTCAGAAATCGAAGAGCGCCTGCTCAGAAATCGAAGAGGCGTGCTTTCTCAAAAAGCTGAGCCTTAGAGATCACGAGGGTTGATCTTCAGAAATCGAAGAGGCTTTTGCTTTCTCAAAAGTTGGGCTGCTCATCAACCACCACGAAGGCCGATCTCAGAATCGAAGAGGCGCTTCTCTTTCTCAAAGCTGGGCTCCCCAGAGAGCCACGAGGAAAAGTCCTCGAGAATCAAAGAGCAACCTATTTTTTCACACTTTCAGCACCTGTCCGACACGCACACTCAGCTTGGAAATTTATGCATTCAGCAAACCTTCACAACATCACTTGCAGGGGAATTCTTTCTGTCGATGTTTCAATCAGGGGCCACTGGTAGACCAAAAACATGTCAAACTTAGCCAAAGTTCTTACACTCCACTTTCAAAAATCATCCCTCAATCCCAACAACAAGACTTTTGCTCCAATAACTTAGACAAAAATTATTGAGGGTGAACATTACTTTTACTTCTGGCCAAAATACGAAGAAACCTGCTC